GGAGGAGATGCAGAGAGCATTTGGAGGGAAGAAGTGTTTTGGGCGAGATGGGAGGGTGCTTGTTATGCGAGGGGTGGGTTGAAGAGGTGGGTTGTTTGTTTTAAGAAGGTTGGGTAGGTTGGCTTTGATGAGGTGATTCATCGCTAGAAGTCTTAAGATGTTGATATCAATGGTATAAGCACGGTGATATGGTATGAATTGATTGCTAATTGCTACCCGTTCCAATTCTGGGTATGCCTGGGTATACACAAGTTGGAGAGATTTCAATTCGAGGAGCTTGAAGAGTATTCTGAGTGATTAGACTGTCTAATGCCTTGATGTTGTCGTCCTAAGATATGTACTGTTCGACTGTCTGCCATCTGGTCGCGCCACTAGTTGAATTGAAAATACGAATTTGAATTTGAATTCACCTAGATCTTGAGAAATCAAACTGTGTGTGAATCAACCACAGAATATTGGTCTGTAGAAATGTTGACGTGTTTGAGAATTTCATCCATGGGACAAAATGAGTCTGTTTGGCCGGCTTGCCTTCCTGAAATTCGAGGATATTGAAGAAAATAAATTATTGAAGATTCAAGCAACGAAGGAACAGCAGAGAGTTTTTCTGTTGCTTTTCATTTTTAGGATAGAGCGTGTTTGGCCATGCTTAGTTGCACTGAAATACGAATTTGAACCTGGGCTCGAAGATCTTGGCAAAACATTGTGGTATGAGTTGACAGAAATACCCCGGTTGTAAGGTCTTCTGGGTAATCCCTGTATTTCTGCCCAATAAGTAAGTAAAGGTTATAATAACGTATATCTGAGTGAGTGAGGATGAAGGGGTAAATGATACAGTTGAGGTCCTGACAATGCAAGTGTTCATGCAATCCAGCCGACTCTATGTCCAATTTATGGTATATGTTGTAAGAACTGTTATTAAGCCTCTTCTCCCGTCAGGTCTTTCCATGCAGCTTCTCGTCGCTCTTTCCGTTCCTTCGCGACTATCTGGTTTTGTGTCTGCCGCTCCAGACGCTGCACGGACATTAGCCGACTTATATAACATGGTTTAATGATGAGATGAAACGCACCTCTCTCCGCAAACACATATTCAACTCATGTTTCGTCTGATTACACGTGCCTATAAACCTCGCTCCCCACCATTCGGAGTGACACCGTTCGAGGGCTTCGATGAAGTCTTTGCAGACTATACAGAGAAAATCCGTTAGAGCGTATTTAGATGGATATAAGGAAAGTAACTTGCTTATTCGTTTGTCAGTGAGTTGAGGATGCATGTCGACCGGAGTAAAGGACGCGGAGTGATGAAGGCGGCCGCGAACGGTGAGTTATTTTGGGTGCTCCTTACCCGTTTTGGAAGGCATTTGCTGAGTGAGAGTATAAGCGCCTGTACTCTTTTAGTGCCCTCGACGTATCTCGTCAATTAACTCTATTACTTCTCAGCTGGTCTCCCTTCAAATTCGTCTCTTTATTCTTACCCGCAAGTTAGGGTCAACCTCAAACCTCTGAGCCACACATAGATCATCGCTTCAAATCACACACCAGAGAAATCCATATACAAAACACAAGAAGGGGACCGAACTTCAAGTAATTCGGGGGCTATACTTCAATATTATGCCACCTACTCTCGCTCCAACATTAGCACATCTATCTGAACAAAATGCGGAAATACGCAAGGAACGACGACGTCGGTACAGGGAAAAACGTCGCGAGAGGAAGAACGAGACTCAATCTCAATCTCAATCTCAAGCCAATGGCTCTCGTTCACAGTCTGAACAGCCCGAGGCAGGACCCTCTGTTCGCGTGTTCTCTAAATCTCTGGCGGATATAACGTTTCCACCTGCTGCTCCCCGGCGAGAGTCAACTAGGAATGGGAGCGGCAGTAGGAAGGAGGGAAATTCGACGCGGAATGGGGATTCGCAGAATCAGACTCAGAATCAGGCGCAAAATCAGACGCAAATTCGTTCGACGGAGTCTCCTACCTCTGCACCACACATTACCCCAAATGGAGTTCCACACGCAGGAGATTTCGCGGAAGGCGATGACTTTATTGCTTTTGATGCATCAGATCATGAACATGACGACAAAGCCGAGGCTGACCGTCCTGCCATGGCCGGTCCTTCTTTTATTCCTGATCGTAAAGGAAAAGGACGTGAACGCTCCCCACCGTCTGAAATACACACAGGAGAGAAACGCTCGAGAGACCAGATGGAGCAGACGGATGATGGATATGTGAATAAGAAGCAGAGGGTAGATGCTGCATCGAGGCTGACACCATGGGTTGAAGATGTGGATTGGGATAGTTGTAGGAATATGGCTGAAATGTGAGTGTTTCGTTGTTATGAGCTTGGAATGTGACTAAGTTATGCTGCTTTAGGTTGCATAAGGAGGTGAAGGCCTTCGTGAATTACTTATCGCCTACTCCGGAGGAACATGCTGTGAGGGGAATGGTCATTGAAATGATAACCCGTGCCGTACAAACTTCTTGGCCTGATGCTCAAATTTCGGCTTTTGGGAGCTACGAGACGAAATTATATTTGCCCCTTGGGTATGTACTCCTCAAACGCCATCCTTTGAATCTGTTCACAGTAATTCGGCGTCCAGCGACATAGATCTTGTGATCCAATCACGCGTGATGGAATCCTACGACAAACGAAGAGTCCTGTACAACCTTGCTCAAGTCCTGCGTAAAAACAATATTACAAATAATGTTCAAGTTATTGCAAAAGCCAAGGTCCCTATTATCAAGTTTGTAACAAATTTTGGTCAGTATAAATTCTTTCTATCTTGCTTCCATCAGAACCTGATGGGAACTTCAGGTCGTTTCTCGGTGGATATCTGTTTGAATCAAACCAATGGTATCTTAGCGGGTGAAGTTGTAAATAGACTGCTGAAGCAGTTACCACCCCTTCGATCATTGGTTATGATGATTAAGCTGTTTCTGAATCAGAGAAGTATGAATGAGGTATATACGGGAGG